GTTAGATCTGGAGTGTTCTTGACCCATTTGTGGATGGAGTCTCCTCTCCAGGTGTCTGGTTATGTGGCTTGCTCTCTACCACATTGGCCAAACAGGATAAAATTCACCTTGACAAGACACAACACAAAGGGAACAAAACACAAATGTACTCACAACACCAATAACTCCATATTAAGTGACCACCAGAGAAAAAGAATTAGGGGAGAGAAAAGAGAGCACAAATGATATCAAAATGAGAAAAAATGATATGGGAGGAAAGAAAAACAAGAAAAAGGATGAGAAAGGAAAAAAACATTTATATAATAAAGGGGTAATATGCAAATTGACCCTAACAGCAGAACGACTGGGAATGACTGGTCATTATGACACACACTGACCACCAGGGTGCAGACGCTTAATGCAGAAGCTGCCCCCTGGTGGTCTGTGCACTCCTACAGGGGGAGCTCTGCTCAGCCACAAGCCAGGCTGATGGCTGCCAGTACAGCGGTGGTGGTGGGAGCCTCTCCCGCTTCCTCAGCAGCACTAAGGATGTCTGACTGCAGCTTAGGCCTGCTCCCTGCTGGCAAGTGGACATCCCCCGAGGGCTCCCGGGCTGCCAGAGGGATGTTTGACTGCCAGCTTAGGCCCAATCCTCTGGAGAGCGGGCCTAAACCAGCAGGTGGTCATCCCCTGAGGGGTTTTTGTGCACTGGGCCTCTAATATATATATCTATATATATATATCTATATATATCTATATATAGATATATATATATATATAACTCCAGAGAACAAAAACATGCAAACACCAAATACCCAGTAAAGAGTGTGGGGGCGGAATCTTATATACGGAAAATAAGGTTAAGGAATTGGATGAATATGGGGAGGACCTCAGTTCACCATAGAAGTAGATAAAGGGTGAGTGGAAAAGAAAAAAAGGAAAGAGAGGAAAGTAATAATAATAATGAAATTTTAAAATTTAATTAAAAAATAAGATAAAATAAAAAAATAAAATGATCAACAAATAATACAAAAAGAAAAAGGAAAATAAAGAAAAAAGAAGAAATAGATATAACAAAATAATCCTATCTAATAAAAGAGAAACATGGTAATTAGCCATACGACCGCTACCCTTCCCATTGGCTAATCAGGGCGATATGCAAATTAACTGCCAGACAAGATGGCGGTAACCAACAAAGATGGCGGTTAATTTGCATACGTAGCCACAATGCTGGGAGGCGAAAGGGGAAGGACTGAAGAATGGTGATCGGCAACCCAGGTGGCAGGCAAGAGCTGGGGGGTGGGCAAAGGCCGCCTTCAGCTGGTGATCGCCATCGTTGGGGTTGCTGGCTGGCCTGCGTGGAGCGATTGCCATGGCAATGGGAGGGCAGGAGGGCTTGGCCCAGGTCAGGCGCAACCCCAGTCCCCCCGGGGCGGGGTTGCCGGCTGGCCTGCACCCAGCGATCACCATGGTGATTGGAGGGTGGGAGGGTCTGCGCCTCAGATCGGAGGGCGGGAGGGCAGGCACAGGCCAGGCGGCAACCCTGGACTCCCAGGACAGGCGGCTGGCCTGCGGCCTCAAGATCGCCATGGTGATCAGAGGGCGGGAGGGCCCGGGAGCAGGCCAGGTGGCAACCCCGACCCCCCAGAAGCCGCCTGCCCACACCCGTGTGCGGCAGCAGAAGCTGACAGCCCGAGCCCGTGTGCAGTCTCTGAAGCTGCCTGTCCACAGCATGTGCAGCCACAGAAGCCACCTGCTCACTCCTGTGTACAGGCACAAAAGCCGCCTGCCACCGCCTGTGACCTGATCCGGTCGCGGGTTGCAGGCCTGCGCCCGTGTGCGGCTGCAGAAGCCACCAGCCCGTGCCTGTGTGCAGCTGCAGAAGCCGCCTGCCTGCCACATCCCACTATGATCCACTGAGTTATGAGGCCAGAGAGCAAGGAGAACTTCCACCCCTGAGTCAAAGTGGGGAGCGGAGGACACGGCCTCCCCTCCAAAGGCGCCAAAGGACAGGACCTTAACCTAAGCCACATCCTCTGAGACAGCCGGGCAGGCACCACTGACCCTCTCTGCAGGCCAGGCCCCCCTCCCCCTTCCCCTGTCCCTGCACAGCTCCCATAGCTCCCTACTGGCTGAGTCAGGCACAACAGGTTTGCAGCCACAGGGGAGATTTAGCAGCTAATGAAAAATGCGAGAACTAACAAATGAAGAAGCTACTGCAGTGGGGAAAAGACGTTCATCAAATTCGTTGTCTCTGAGAAACTGAGGCAGCCAGCACGGGCCCCTGCACAGGATGAGGCTTCTGCTTCTAAAGAAACGTCCTGGGGTTAGAGGTGAGGGGGTGCTGCCTTTCCCATCTGGTATTCTTAATACCCAGAGACCCCTCCCCAGTCCAGGCAGGAATGTTCCACGCTGACCGCCTCCAGAAAGCAGAGAACAAAGAGGCACTTCTTGACTTCAAGCCTCTAAACCAGTGGTTCTCAACCTTGGCTGCACATTAGAATCACCTGGGAATCTTTCTAAAATCCTGATTTCTGGGCCTCATCCTCTGGAAATTCTGTTTCTTTGTTACAGGGTGGGGCCACAACATTAGTAACAAAGAAACAGAATTCCAGAGGATGAGGCCCAGAAATCAGGATTTTGAAAAGATTCCCAGGTGATTCTAATGTGCAGTCAAGGTTGAGAACCACTGCTCTAAACAGACTTGACCACTGTGGGCAAAGACCTGCAGCTGAGAGGGGGCAGGTTCTGGGTGTCGAGGTCCAGAGCGTGGAAGACCTCCTGGGGGAGCAGTGGATCCGAAAGCCTGTGTGCTGGGTCAGACACTCCTGCCTCCCACCCTCCCCTGCCCTGCACATAGACGTGCCTGGACTGGGTGAGGAGGAGAAGGAGAACTAGAGGGAAGGAACACTGAGTGTTTGTTGGCGGCCATGTAAAAAGGACTGTGACCCTCCCCTCCCACTGAGTCACTCCCTAAGGCAGCAGGAGACGGAGGGTCTGAGAGCAGCCACACAGCTTTGTGGCCGTGACCAAGGCACCAAGATGGTGTCCATGCAATGGGGCTGAGGAGGTGTCAGAGGACCTCACCCCAGAAAGCCCAATAGCTCTTTGTGTGGAGAGAGAAGGTGGCAGGGAGGGAGGGAGAGAGCAAATTGGACTCAAGAGGCCTCAAGGCCTAGATGAGAATATACCAGGGATCAGCATGGACTTGAGCTCTGAGGTGAGGGTCAAGGGCAGCTGGGTGGGGGCCAGCCCAGACAGAAGACTGAGGTCCAGATGTTCTTGACCCTGCTCAGTTCTTTGGCACCTCTGCCTGAGATATAAACTGTCTGACATGGAAGTACAACTCCAGAGAAGGGGGTGGGGAACCTAAGTTAAATAATATTTTGTTTTTCTGTTTTCACTTGGCAGAATGGGGGCTGAAGTTGAAGTTTGGTTTGGTTACTAAACAATAAAGAAAGCAACATTTCTTGCACACCCGACTGTGTGGTCTGAGTTTGCTGCTGCCTATAAACTGAGAAAAATTTGTAAAATGAAGTACTAATCTCTAGGGTTTAGGTCAGACCGAGGAGTAGTGCCACTCAGCCAGAAGCTGGCTCATGGCTGGCCAGTGCAGGGATGGTGGCAGGAGCTTCTCCCACCTCCGTGGCAGCACTAAGAATGTCCAACTAACAGTTTAGGCCTGACCCTTGGGGGCCTAAGCCTTTAGTCAGACATCCCCCGAGGGCTCCCTGGCTGCCAGAAGGATTCCTGACTGCAAGCTTAGGCCTGATCCCCCGGGAAGTGGGCCTAAGTCAACAGGTGGATATCCCCCAAAGGGTCCTGGACTGCAAATGGGCACAGGCTGGGCTGAGGGACGGCCCCTCCCACCCCCCACCCCCCCCACCGAGTGCTCAAATTTTGTGCACCGGGCCTCTACTAATAAAATAAAATGAAATAAAAATAAAAACGTGAATTGTCATTTCTTTCCACCCATTAAGATCCCACTCTTCTGTACTGTCTGCTGCTTCTCAGTTTCCTGTTGCTGGGACTGAAGGCCTCTCTTTAGGCCAGCCCCTGTGGACTCTCAGGGACTATTTAGATTTTTTTTTTTTGTATCCTTTGTGCCACTCAAGGTGTAGTTTGGGTGTAGTCTTGGTTGCCTGCAGACTGCAGGGAGGGACTATCTCTTCAGGACAAATTGGCTGCTTAGGTCCTGCACATCAGGTATGACTCATCGCCGGACTCGTGGCCACCTGTCCCCAACCCTCCCCTCTCCCCAGCCTCTCCCCAGACTCCACAAGTCTGCACCTCTACCTGTACCTCAGCCACGGGTGAGTGTCTGTATTTGAAAGGTTCTATGAACTAGGTTCAGTGAACAAAAACAAAGATCACAGAGGGGAAAGATCTGCGCCTCTGTGAGCCCCTCTCCCGCTGGCACGGCACGGCCTAGGCAGCCGTCCAGGCCGCCCCCTCTGGGCTCAGTCTCACATGGCTGTGGACCAAGACCTAGAATCCCCTGCCGCCAGCAGCCCTGTGGACCTACTTTCCACAGTCAGACGCTATGCTTGTCCCAAGGGACGGGGCCTTGGTGCCATGCGGTTTCCCTCTGACCCTCTGGGCTTGAAGGTCTCACAGTTCTCTCCAGCCCAGATCCCTGATTTTACTGTTCTCCAGGCACCCTCTGCCCTTCCTGGCTGCAAATGGTCTCATCAGCTGTGTCTACTTTGCCAATTCAGGATGGATGTTACTCGATTTAGTTGCTCATTCTATCTGCTCAAGGACAAAGCTCGGGACACATCCAATTATTCTGCTGACATTTTGTCTAAATATTTTTGTTTTATTGTATATCTTGGGCTAATATGCTAATAAATGGAGATCACACATCATACAAATAGTGGTGCAAAAAATGATAATGTCGATCTAAGTTAGGTTATAATGATTATTTAAAAACATGTTAAGGAAAAAGTATGGTAGTTGATAAAATTGTATTAGATTATGTTGAAGATGTATTGACAAAATATTCTTTCTTTTTCTTGTAGATTTATCTAAGAACAGACTGGTTGAAGTTCCAATGGAATTGTGCCACTTTGTATCACTGGAAATTCTTAATCTGTATCATAATTGTATCAGAGTCATTCCTGAGGCCATCGTTAATCTGCAGATGCTGACTTACTTAAACTTGAGGTAGGTTAACTACAAAGGTTGTAGTAAAATTCAAGTAAAAATATGCTTTAATTTATATCAGGTTTTTTTTCTCTTTCTAATTGCTGATCACCCTTTGAAGTAAATCACACAAAGATCATTTAAGAACTATCTTCTATAATACATTTGTAGTGTCATTAATACTGTTTTTGGTCCTAGAATTTTCTGAATGTCAATATGACAAGATGTTTTTGCTTTTTAAAAATAATTTATATGGTATCGTTTCTACTTTTTTGCGGGGGCTGACCAGCAGACCCTGAGTGATGGATGAATGTTTACTCTGACACAAATTTGCTGTGAAAGAGAGAGCTAAGGGATTGCCTGGCTAAAGCAACCGGACAGCCTCAATCGCCTGCCTCTTCAGGCTTTTGTTATAACAGCAATTTGAGATAAAGTGTATCTTTTAGCTACCATCAGTAGGGTAAGTAATCTTGTGTCTACAGTGTCCTTTAGGCAAGGGCACCTAAAGATTCTGGTAAACACCCAGGGGCTCAGCTTGTTTGGAAAAGTCATGGCAAGATCTGCCGCCTTCAGCAAAGTCCATCTAAGGCCCCCGACCTTTTGGAGATTCCTCCTTACAGACTTTTCAACCAAGTCTCCTGTGCTCCCCCACACTTTTTGTCTCTTTTAGAAATGTTTTTATTGATTTTAGAAAGACAGTAAAGGAGAGTGAGAGAGAGAGAAACATCAATGAGAGAGAAACATCAATTGGCTGCCTCCTGTATGCCCCCCACCGGAAATTGAGCACAACCCAGACATTTGTCCTCAAACTGGTGACCTCTTGATGCATTGGATGACTTTCAACCACTATGTCACACTGGCTGGGCTACTTTTAGTCTCTTTTGTGCTTGGAAGGTTGTTGGTATATTGTTTTCAGGTACTGATGTAGATTTTGGAGGAGGAAGATGAAAGGAAGTAAAAAAAGAACATGAGCTTTGGAACAAATTGGGGCCTTGATGGTCTTTGGGCGTTTTGGTACCATTGTATTTGCTACCTGGTACTCACTGAGCTTGTTCACTTTAGGTCACTTGAGAAACTTCAGAAGGAACAGTGAGCAAATCCAGCAAGACAGGAAGTTTGCTGTCTTTATAGACGATTAAATTAGTTCAGTGTTTGCTGAGAATGGATCAGTGGTCTGTATTGATGCTCTAATTATAGACAAAACAGTGTAACATATGAATGCCCTTGAATAGCCCTGAAGTTAAGAAAAGCAACTATTTTTAGACTTTGACTAGATTTTGGCTCCTTGTCTTCTAAATCCTTGACTCACATTTGGGCCATTATGAGAGAGGGGAGCTCTTTTATCAAATCTATCTGTATTCTAAAAACAAGGTTCCAAAGCTCAAGCCTGAACATAGCCTCCACTCCACTGGTGTCAGTTGCACTATCTTCCTATGCAAAAGGTAGCACCTGATTAGCAAGGTTTGTGCTATGCAACAAATCTGCTAAGCTTTAAAATGCAAAATTCCCAATAAACCAGGTATTGCATTAAATTATGATAGATAATGTCAGTTAATTTTTTAGTGGGATTTTTTGGGTTCTTTTGGGAGGGGGAGTTGACCACTGGGAATTAGGGATCTTCTGTGGCTCTGGTCTCTTTGCAGTCCCCTTTGTTGGTGTTTATTTTCCCATTGACCCCCCTTTACCCCATACCCACCCCTCCCAGGCCTTCACCACACTATTGTCTGTGTCTATGGGCTATGCATATATGCATATAAATTCCCCAGTTAATCTCTCCCCACCCACCCCTACCTTCCCTCTGAAATTCATCAGTTTGTTCTATGCTTCAATGTCTCTGAATCTTATTCAGTAGTTTCCACATATGAGTGAGATCATGTGTTATTTATCTTTCTCTGACTGGCTTATTTCGCTTAGCATAATGCTCTCCAGGTCCATCCATGCTGATGCAAATGGTAAGAGTTCCTTCTTTTTAAACACTGCTGCATTGTATTGCATTGTGTAAATGTACTGCAGCTTTTTTATCCACTCATCTGCTGATGGGCACTTGGGCTGTTTCCAAATCTTAGCTATTGTATATTGTGCTGCTATGAACATACAGAAGGTCAAGAGACATATGAAAAAATGCTCAAAGTCACTAATATCCAAAAGATGCAAATTAAAATGACAATGAGGTATCACCTCACACTTGTCAGAATGGCTAGCATCAACAAATCTACAAATGACAAGTGTTGGCGAGGATGTGGAGAAAAGGGAACCCTGTACACTGCTGGTGGGAATGCAGATTGGTGCAGTCACTGTAGAAAACAGTATGGAGTTTCCTAAAACAATTAAAAATGGAACTCCCATTTGACCCAGTAATCCCACTTCTAGGAATATATCCTAAGAAACTGAAACACCAATCTGAAAGGACATTAGCTATTTTTATTAACTCTACCCTATCTATTTTCCTTGTTTAAAATTTAGTTTAAAAATATAAATTATGAAATATTCCAAATTTATAGAAAATAATGAAATAGGTGCTCAAGTTCCCACCATTCCAGTTTAACAATATGATATTATTTAGTGCTTTTAAAACATACATAAATGTCACACTGCACATAACCATTTGCAATAATTTTGACTTAACAGGTATTAATGTCATTTTTTTCAAATCTCCCACCCTTCCATTCACACCATCGGTCCTGGGATCTTTATATTATCACACACACAAAAGGCTTCATTCTACTCTAATAGCAACTTCCCAGTAGTTCATTGCTTTTTTAAAAATTTGGAGGTTAGCCCTAACTGGTTTGGCTCAGTGGATAGAGCATCGGCCTGAGGACTGAAGGGTCCCAGGTTCGATTCCAGTCAAGGGCATGTACCTTGGTTGCAGGTGCATCCCCAGTGGGGGGTGTGCAGGAGGCAGCTGATCGATGTTTCTAACTCTCTAACACTCTCCCTTCCTTTCTGTAAAAAATCAATAAAATATATATATTTTTTAAAAATTTGGAGTTTCTTATCTTGTCACCAGTTTTTGTTTTGTTTTTAAGAATAAACATCTTCATTACAGGAGCTACTATAGGAGGGAAGAGGATTTATTTGCCTTTCTGGGCCTTGATTTTCCTCACATAGGACTCCAACTCTTTGCCCTCTAGCACATAACCATCTGCTTGGACATGTTGGCCTGGTTTTGGAGCAATGCTTGCAAGAAGCTTGCCCTGCTGGAACTGCCCCTCTGGAAGACTTCTGATTTTGGCATACTTTTTTCTTTCATCATATTTCTTCTGAATTTTCTCTGGTTATTTTTTGTTTAAAATCTCTTCCTCCTCAGGAGTCAGCTTGACCCCCTTCTTGTGGTGCAGGGGCAGTGCCTATTGGGACTCATACCACTGTAGGTACAGTGTGCTGTCAATGAGCACAATGCAGTTCTTTACTTGGGGGTTGGTATGGACCAGTTCATTCTTGGATGCATCATAGAGAAGATCAATAATCCTTGTTTTGTAAGTACTACTCTTGAGCCCCAGGAGAAGTTTGCCCACATCCAGCCTCAAGGTTTGATACTTCTTGTTACCACCCCACACACGGACTGTGTGTATGGGCAAGGGCCAATCTTAGTGTGGGCAGCAGGGTGTCCCAGGTCATATTTTTGTTTCTTATGGTGGGGCTTTCTCTTGCTCCTGCTCTTATGGTGCTTGTGAAATGGGAAATGTGGACTGGAAACACATGGTGTCTCTCTGGGCAGGATGGTTCCCTGGCTCTTTGTCTGGTGGAGTCAAAGAATGAAACCGCGGACGAAAGATGGTATAGCAAAGGTGGAAGTTTATTGAGAAACAAGCACAGACTCCCATGTGGGGAGGTAAAAGAGTCCCACAGCCCAGACTCCCATGGGGGGAGGGGGAAAGAGTCCCACCAAGTCCCTTTTTCCATGGTTTATAAAGGCTGCAGGGTTTTTTGTGCCTCAATATTCCTTCTGATTGGTCACTATCCCCCTTTGATTTGGTCACTATAGCAACTCCTGAGCTCAAGTCTCACGTGAAATACGTGAGGTTCCCTCCTTCTCCCTTATTATTCTCCTATTCCCTCTAGTTTGTAAATGTGTACCTTTTGCTACCCCCAGTTCCCTTATCTTATGAAAATGTAACTTCTGTGGCTTCCAGCTCCCGTGTCTTATGGAAATGTACCCTTTGCAGCTCTGTAGCCCTGTGCTTTTTCCATGGACCCTTTAATTCCTAAAATTTTCTAAACCTGCCTATTTTACCTCTAAAAACTCCTTTCACTTGTACCACTTGTCCCAAAAAATGCCTATGATTTGGCACTGGATAGAAAGAGCCTGCCTCCAGTTTTTATTAAATCAACTTTATCAAGGTATAACTTGTACCCAGTCTTTTTTATAGATTATGGATCACTAATTTTTGTATAATCAAATAAAGCTAATTTTACTTTAAAGTAGGAATAAAATTGGCAGGTCTGAGTATAAAAGTGTATCACTATTTAAATGAAGACTTGGTCTCTTCCTCTCACCCTTTCAATGAAATCAAATATCAGATACAGGCAAGATTCTGCCCTTAATCTTACCCATCTTCTTCCTTCCCCAAAGGTAAATGCTATCCTACTTGGTGTGTATTATTCCCAAATATATTTCGTACTTTTCCCACATAGCATGTATGTTTCCATAAATAATATATGCTATTGTTTAGTGCTTTAAAAACAATATTAGTGTCACGTTGTACATAATGTTTTCCAATAATTTCCACTTAACATGTTTTTTTATGCCCCAAAATTTATTTTTTAAATATCAAAAGCCTATACTTTTATTTATTTATTTACATATTTTTAATCATTTATTTTTCAATTACAGTTGACATATAATATTATATTAGTTTCAGTTGTACACCCACATAACTTACTAAGTTTTCATCCCAATAAACCTGAACTATCTGACACCATACATAGTTATTAGCTGTAACAACCAGTTTGTACTTCTTTTTTTTTTAAAGTATATTTTATTGATTTTTTACAGAGAGGAAGGGAGAGGGATAGAG